AGAGAGGAAAAATAGTCCATATCTCATGTGACCACACATCAAGCAACCATAAGGCTGAGCCCAAGCCTGAATGCTAGACATATCAAATTTTGGCTAAGCCTGCACTGCAGATATATGTGTTGGCAATAATGACACTTGTTAACTGATAAACAATTCAATTTCTGCTTAGGGCCACCTGATGGTATTTGAATGGAATTTAAACAGCCCCAGATGCATATAGGTCCAAAGCAATTCCAAAGTCCTCAAGCAATTAGATACCATCAGTGAAAACTGGATCCATGTTACCTTCTTTTGCAATGTATGTGTACTCTGTAATTGTAAGGAGCAATGTAGTATAGCACCCAATCTCCTCAGCCTCAAGGCTTCACTCTGCCACAAGGTTTCCTGCTATGATTTGCTTGGGTGGGGCTGGTAAACAGAATTGTTCTTAAGTTCACATAGTGCACCAATAGTTTTGGGATATTTCTACAGTACTGGGGTTTCTGATTTTGTTTAGATAGTCCTCATTGTTAGTGGTCTGCTTGTTTGCTTCACAGTGCTTTCAAAACATTGACAGTGAGGATTAGAGAGAGGATTGGTTTAATTTGCACATTTATGTCAACCTCTGTGAAAGGCTTTGGATGGAGAAAATGCTGAGGGTCTACTTTAGAGAAAAAGGCATTAATTTGATACTCTGAAAATAAACATTTTAAGATTTCATTCAACAAGTAGATTTAACACTACATTTTAAACTCCTTTGGAAGGGTATCAAAAATCCAAGAAAAACTATCAACCAAAGAGAATCCCTCTTGACAACACTATGTCACTGCAAGTACAACATACATATTCAACCCAACATGAATGCTACCCAGCTTTGCATGTCAGTAAGAAACAATGTTAAAAACGTGAGCTTTGCAGGCTGAAAGAATCGTTCCTCTTAATTCTTTTGGGTCAAGTCCTAAATATTAGATCTTTGCATAACCCTGATTCTGCAGGCAAGTCCCCTCACTATTTTTTAATTTTGCTGAAATGGAAGAAGGGAGAGGGTGAGAAAAATTTTAGAGAACAGAGGTGACAAATAATTTTCCTTTTTCTCCTTCATTTTAATTTGCTTAAGATCTTTGTTCCCAGACTAGCAGCCATAGTGGAGACTTCAGTAAGATAAGAATACACAAAAACTTTACAGTGGTCAGGCTGGCTTGATAGCTTGTGATGACATGAAAAGTCAAATTCAGCTAAAGCTTTGACTACAGATAACCTCACTTAGCATTGTTATCTTAATGAAAAGCAAATAGAAAAGTCTTCCACCATACATCCAAATTTACCAAGGACATACAAAGAAAATGTCCCCTCACAGTAAAAGCTTTTTAACCAATCCCAAACGTCCTCTTACAAAACAATTAATCTGAAATATTTTTTTAAATGCTGTCACCATATGCTTACAATTTTTAAAACCAACTTGTGGAAATAATATGCATACAAACATACTTAGTGTTTAACATTGCTGACTTAATCCATGCTCACAGTAATTTGTCTGTATACCATTTACGAAAATAGCTGCCTTACTGCATTAGAAATAATGAGATTGCATTCACAGCAGAAGCACATTTAAAACTGAACTTAGTGACACCTTCAAAATGATTCCTGCTATTTTTAAAATAACTTAGCTAAAATTTAAGTAATTTTTCGCTATCCATGCATGGCAATTCTTTCTAATATTAAAAATAATAGTTAAAATAAATGTGTACATCACCACAAATACAAACTTCTCTGAGGTACAGAAACTATCTCATTGGGCTTTTCCATCTTGTTTTTTTGTTTGTTTGTTTTAGTAAGTGTACAGTCAAAATTCCTCCATAAACAAACATTTTAGACCTAAATTAGTATCAAGAGACAGAAATTGTGTTTGTTCTATTTATGTTGTATTTATGGTCTTGCTTAGTAGAATTTGTTGAGGGCTTTTTCCTAAAGTTTCTTAATACCAGATCTTGTGAACCCCTTTTCCAAAGAAGGATGTAAACTCTTAATAGATGAGCAACAGCTCCCTCTTTTTCCTCCAGCAGAGATAATAGACTGATTTCTGGGTAAGTTTTCTGCCCCTTCTCTCTCAAATACAAGCAGTCCTGTGTAAGACAAATCTGCCCTTTTGAACAGCTTGCAGGAGGATCTAGGCTTCTGCATCCTCTTATCTGACTAGCAGGGATGGGAAGATCTGCAGCTCCAGTTTTAGCTTCACAGCAAGTTGCAAATACTTCACAAGCCTTCCAGAGAGAAAATGGTACTACTGTTTCCTGTGCTTAAGGAAGAAACTAAAGAAAGATCTTGCACAATTGAAATTATGCCATACATCATAAAGAACTAGTACAAAGCATAGGGTTTTTTTCTTTTTTTTTTGTTGCTCTGTCCTGCAACTTAAGGAATAGTCAGATACATCCTGGAATACTTAAATGCTTCCACATGAGCAGGGCAAAACAAAAAAAAAAAACAAACCAAACCAAACAAGCAAACAAATCCCAGACTTCTGGTTAGTTGTATTACATACATTAAACTCTTTCACAAGTGAAACGGTGCTGTAATCAAGCACATTTTGGAAAAGGGTAAAAAAATAAAAGGGAAAAAATAATGACTCTAAATGGGGCAAAACAGCAGATCTATTGGAAACATGACAAAAACAGGATGTTAAGGAAAAAAATTAAGTGGAGTCAACAAGGTTACACATAAGTAACACCTTAACATTAAACGAAATCTATTTTCCATTTTGACCCGGAAACCTCTTCCAGTAATTACTAAAATCTATTTACACAGCAACTAGATAAAATCAATCTGATGGCTCACACCATTTTTGGCTCACTTTCTGTAGGCTCTGACGTTCAACAGACTGGCTCGAGAGAAGTCAATACTCAGATGTCCTGAGTTTCCATGTTTTGCCTCCTACAACACTATCCTAGCAGTGAAATCACTGCTATGCAAGTTTTTCTGTTCTGGATCTGCAGCATTTTGTTCCTGGCTCTGTCCCCTCGCCCCCAGCGAAGAGACTATGGAGTCTATGGAGTGTATGGAGGCTACGCTTCCTCCCAGCCTTATATGGAGGCAAAGCGTGTTCACCAGTATCTCTGCCCGGCCTGTTATGGGGGGCTCTGACAGGCCCGAGGCTGAGCTCTCTTACATTAACCAGATCAAAAGCACAGTTTGGCAAAAGTAGGAAAAAAAAAAAAAAAGACAAACGGAGAAAAGTAGACAGAGAACAGACAGGACTCGGAGAACTGGGAGAGACAAAAACCTTCTTCTATACTTATTCCCCTTCCTCCTAGGAATATCCAGGAAGCTTCCAAAAGAAATGATATCAATACATTAGGTGGAAGTGCTCCAGTGACCACATATATACACTCTGAGCCTGTCAGTTCAGCCAAGACAAAGACACAAGTATGGGATATATTTCTTCTGCTTTGGAGAATACTTCCTGTCATGTAAGTAGAGTATTGCACAACAGAAGGTAAAATGTACCTGGATCAGCTGCACTATGGCTGGAAATGAGCACTGCTGGAAGATTTCTGAGACAGGTATGTGCTTAGCTTTAATATCAGTAATTAAAAACTTCAGAAATTAACAAAGTCTGTTTAGTGCAAAATCATCTTTATTAGGTGACTTTTCTTTTCTTATATCTCGGACAGCTGAACACTGCCAATTTATTACTGTGATCTTTCAAAACTTATGCCATAAGTTAGAGTTACATCTTCTATCCAGTGATTCTGAAACTAAAAGAAGATGTATATTTTTCCCTCATATATAACTAGAGCAAAATTAACTTTTAAGCGAAGCTCCATTTACCTCAGCATATCAAAGAATAATATTAATGTTCTCATAGCATGGCCTGTCTCAGTCTTGGTCATATTTTCAGCTATGGTTGTCTGGCAGCAGCATGCCATTTAATTATACCAATCAAGGTATATATCATTAGAGATCAGAAAGTTGTGCAAGGCTTTCAAGAAACCCAAAATCAAACCCGTATAAATTCTGATTTTAACAGCACCACTAGCTGTTTTACCTCCCGGTCTGACCTTGGCTTCCAAGAGAGCCTCTGCCGAGTGCCGGTGATGCTACAGTGAGCAGCAGCAATGCCTTTCCCTCTCTAATCTCAGCCGGCAAGAGCTGCTGGCCTCGGGTACTTACTTGAAGGGCTTTTCCCCCGTGTGTGTCCGGATGTGGTTGTTGAGTGTCGTGGCCCCGGCGAAGGCGCGCCCGCAGTAGCCACACTTGAAGGGCCTGTCGCTGGAGTGCGTGACCACATGGTTCCTCAGCTCCGACGGCTGGGAGAAGGACTGGGAGCAGTGGCCACACTGGTAGGGCCTGCGGTGGGAGAGGGAAACAGCCTGCCATCAGTGCTTCCTGCTGGAGTGAGCCCCAAACCACGCGGGACGGAGCTCCTGCTCTTCCCAGTGATTTCCAAAGAGAACTGCGCGTGCACCTCTCTGGGTCTTTCTTGGGAAACACCAGATACCCAAAACTTCACAACTTCTTTAATAAATGCTAAATTATTGGGCAGGAATTAGCTGAGAGTCTATGGGGCCCACAAACCATAATTCAGCAAACTGCGCTGCACACCAAATGTCTGCCTTAATTGTCTCAAACTCAGCACGGTACTCCTTAGTCCAAAAAAAAAAAAAAAAAAAAAAAAAAAAAAAAAAAAAAAAAAAAAAAATCCACACACACTGGAGCTGAGGGNAAATAAAAAAATAAAAAAATAAAAAAATAAAAAAATAAAAAAATCCACACACACTGGAGCTGAGGGACTCATGAAATCCTCTGTCTATTGATGCCAGCTGCAGTCTTACAAATGCGTGTCTGATGATTACATGTGTATCCTAGCTGTACTCTGTAGCTACTCACAATTAAACCCCTCATATTGCTTTGGAGGTTTTTAGAGATCACCTATTTCAATAAGAGACTTGGAGAAAAATGATCACTGTATTACAATTATCTTTCTGTTTTCTTATTTAAGTTGAAAATCTTTACATTTTATTAACGTTTTTTTCCCATCCAGATTGACAATGCCTTTTTTGGGGATTTTGAAAGGAAACCCAGAGCCCAGGTTTTCAATAATACATCTTGCTAAAAATAGACATAACAAACAAACACACAAAACTGAGTGATATGTTACAAATCCAGAATCATAACAGGCAGACTGCAAACACAGAAAAAGAGGGATACAAGACAGAAATGTGAGACTGGCCTGCTGAAATGCTAACTAAAATAAAATGCCAGGAAACCATGTCTATATATTTCTCTTTGGTAAAAGTGGCTTCATATCAACATCCTATGAGGGTTTTTTTCCATTTCACATTTGTTTTAAGTTAGGAGCAGAGTCATAAATGCTTATCAGACTTTTTGCAAAGAAAATTAAGATCATTTTTTCTGGAAGGATAATAATGATTTTTACCCTACATCACATTTTAACTCTTGGTGTCTGCGTTTCCAGAGCCAATGGCCAACACAGCTTAATTGCTCTCTCTGTAATAAATGTATATGTTTAAATGGCTAGAAACCAAAGCTAAAGGGAAAGAGACAATGGTGACCAGGCATGTACAATTCAATTAAGTGCAAAATAAAGTGAACTATCTCATTTGTCAAGTGAACTGCTTAATTGTGGCTACTTGCATCACTGAACACAAATACTATTATTTTACAGTGCTTCAGAGCACTGAACCCTGATTGTAGAATTTTTTAGCTTGATTAATAGCTCAGTATTCATCAATAACTCAATAGCCTACAATTTTAATTACTTGCATTTGAAAATCTAACTACTCTCCAACAAGTTTGAAAGTAATATATAAAAGCTGTGGAAAGGTAATTCAGATGATGTGGCCCTTAAAGATACACAGATATATGTAAAATAATATTTTTTTTAGAAATCTAACAAGAAAGTGTTTGTCTGTTTCTCTTACTGGAAGACAAGTAATACCATGTCCATTTTTCACCTTTCTTGGAGTCCAAAGTTAATTTGCATGGAAAATATTAATCAAATTTCAAATTAATGAAATTTCAAGAGTTGGTAAAATAGAGATAATTGGTAAATGCAGTAATCAAACACGTTTAAGCAAAACAATAAAATAATATATTCCATATCAAAGAAACATTGATTTTTTTAATAGTGAAGGAGACCATTAACATCTATTAGCCTCTGGTTATCTATTTTTAACAGCAACTACAAAAAATGATACAATGCTACATAAAATCAATTTTCTTTTTTTTTAAGTGATAAATAAATCAATGTGATTAATCTAAGGGAGTGAAAATTCACAATATAACTTGTTTGTAAAAAGTCAAAACTTCAAACCAGATATAAGTGAACATTGTGATGCCAAACAATATGGGTTCATTAGCTCAAAAATAAATGTCTGCTTTACAAAATAGTCAGAATGTATTTTACTGGCTTATGCTTAAAAAAATAAGCCCTGTAAAAGATCCCTACTGTTAGATCGCTTCAACTGCATTTTCTGATTCATCCACTTCTTGGGAGAAAAATTATCAAAGAAGTTACCCTTCTCTTTGCAGAGGGTGCATTTATCCAGTTTATATGCAGGTAACTCTAATTAATGCTAAAATGTGTAATTTTTTAAAGCTTAGATAAACGACACATATTAGGCAAATTAATTTTAAAAAGAGAGCCTAAAAATGCATTCAAACACTGTAAGACCTTTAAAAAGCTCTAATTTGCACAATTGCAAGTTTAAATATGCCAACTTCTGACAAATTTTGGATACTACTCTTTTTCAAAGAGCAAAAAAATAAAATTACATTCAATAAGTAGAAAAGTTATCATTCTATTCTCTGGTAACCATTTTACTGTACTCAGATTTTTTTTTTCTTGGAAGAAAATAAAATCAATATGTTATTTTTCAAAAAAAATGAAAGTGGTGCTGAAGGACTGAGCACAAGCTGTGCTCGGTTCAGTGAGTACATTGACATGGGCAGAGCACGCCTGCCTTTGATGTAGCAGTTATGTCTTCTGCCATCACTTTTGTCTGCACTGGGACAATGAATCAAGATGGTGACCTCGCTATAACAGAGTTTTGCAGACGAGAAGGAACAGCGGCAAAGTGACAGAAATGTTGGTCTTCATAGGCTGTACTTTCAAAAATCCACTGCTGGACTGAATGCACTCCCAGCTCAGAAAAACTCATTTCCTTGGAATAACCAGTACATGTATTGTACTCTCTTGAGATCCACAGTACCGATGTGAATCAAAATCTTATCAGATAGTAATTATAAGTTACAGTTAAGAACAGCTAAACTGATTACAGCAGTGTGCAGATGAGAATGATGTTCTGACAGCCATCAAAAGTAATTCTAATGTTTTTTATTAAAAACCTAGTTACATAGGAGCTTTTAGCTCCACAACTTTCTTTTTGAGCTTAAAGAAAGAAAATCTACTTACCCAGAAGAAAATGTTCTTGTTGGGAAAGTTACAGTCTTGCATCATTGATAGGTTTACTGACATTTAGAATCCATCAGCTTTTTCTAGAGACCCTAATCCTACAATCTCTGGCTATATAATGGTCCGTATAGGAACACAGGCATGTATGAAATTCTGAGAGCAACTCTAATGTAATAGTTTTCAGGTTTTGTGGTCATTTACACTTTGAGCTTTTCCAAGTTGTGAAAGACATGTTTTTCAAAACGAAAACACTAAGGAATAAATTTTGCTCTCTAAGTTAGAAAATCTCTTGAATGATTTTGGTCTTTGGTGACATCTTTTCCTGTCTTAAAATTTTCTTACTTTTGCAGCTGATATTTTTCTGGGTGAAGCTGCATCTTGTATGGGACTAGCACAAAACTCATGCTTCCCTATAAGGCTTACTGAACCTCACCAAAGCTCATGCTTTGGGCAGGGAATGTAGAACCCCTAACATTTACAAAGTATGTTAAGAGAATAGAAAAATCCATATGCTTTCATCTGAAATAGTTACTGAGAGACAGCTATACATTTAGATTAATTCTTTCTAAATTTCCATTTAGCAAAACTGACAGAGTTTTATTTATCTTTTACTATACCTCTGTCAAAATAATATATTTTCCAAATTCTGACACCTAAGTATATCTAAGTGTTATAAATTTATTTTCTACATCATAAATTATTAACTCTTTGAATTTTTAGAACTTGAAAAATCCAATCATTATTTTCCACTGCATTTTCAAATTATTTCCTTTATGATGAATAGGTTTTTAGTGTGGCCTCTTCAGAAGTGAATTTGCTCTTTTCAAGAGGCATATGGAATTTCATTGCAATACTTCGAAGAGAAATTGCTTGTTAAGAGTGAGTTCCTGAATACATGTAACTTTGTTATTGAAACTCTCTCAGCCCAGTGAGACAAAATAGCACAGCACTGTAATTATCCGCATTCAGAAAGAGTTTGAAAACACGAGTTGAAAGGAGTTTAATGTGATTGAAAGTACTTTTCTTCCTTGTTGATGACTAAGAAGTAAAAAACTAACATGATCATAGAGTTACAAAATTGTCTGTGTTAAAAGGAGTCTTAATGACCACCTTGTTTCCAACCCCTTGCTATGGGCAGGGATACCTTCCACTCAAGGCCCCATTCTATTTGGCCTTGATAATTCCCAAGATGGGCCATCAACAGCTTCTCTGGGAAAATTTCAAGTCTGTCTCATTACCCTCACACTAAAGAATTTCTTTCTTACATCAAATCTAAATTTACCTGACTTCTTTCAGTTTAAAGCCATTATCCCCTTTTCTATCACTACATATTTTCACAAAAAGTCTCTCTCCAGCTTTCTTGCAGGTCCCCAGAGGTACTGGAAAGCTCATATAAGGAGTCCCTGAGCCCTTCTTTTCTTTACACTGAGCAGCCCAAACTGTCTCAACCTGTCGTCATCCTTCTGACCATCTTTGGGAGAGTCCCTCTGGACTCTCTGGCAGATCCACATCCTTATGTTGGAATCCCCAGAGCTCCAGGTGGGGTTTCACAAGAGCAGAATAGAACGGGAGAATCACCTCCTGCCCACACAGCTTTTGACACAGCCCAGGACATGTTTGGCTTTCTGGACTGTGAGTGCACATCTGGCTCACGTCCAACTTCTCATCCACCAGCATCTCCAAGTCCTTCTCCACAGGGATGTTCTCAGTCCATTCTCCACCCAGCCTGTATTTGTGCTTGGGATTGCCCTGACCCACATTTAAGACCTTTCATTTGCTCTTGTTGGACTTGATGATGTTCCCACAGTCCCACTTCTCCAACCTGCCAAGGTCACTCTGGAGGGTATCTCTTCCTTCCAGCCTGTCCCTGCCTCACACAACCTGGTGTCATCAGGGAACTCGCCAAAGGGGC